GGAGTGTTGTCAGGATTATCATTCCACTGTTTAAGACTTAGCTAGTAATGATTTTACTCAAGTATATAGTATGTGAGCTCTCGGAGTTTGTCCATCGGTGAAACCCTTGCCGAAACATTGGAGAAACTGAATATTTCGCGACTGAATAAATCTTTGAAGCAACTCAAAGCCAATTAGGAGACCAGGAGCGCCCCTTATTCACCAATGGGTCCTCAATCGCAAACATCTCATGACAGCTGGACACGTCGTTGTCCACACGCGTTTGTCCTTCCATCTGGTATTACGTAATCCAATTTTCTGTGCACAAAAGTTTGTGAAACTACCCTGGAACTGGTTTGGAACTGAGCTAACATTATCATCAATCACTTCGACTGTTCATGCTGAGTCAGCAAGTTACTCGTTTTTTTATCTGCGATGAAAATAATCGTGATCACCGACAAAGAGTTCTGAACTACTTCTTCGCCATTGTTTGACCTCTTCGGGACTCTTGCACACTGCTGATGTGTCCCAACAAGGTCTACACAGCTTACCAGTGCTCTGTGTTCATCATCACACAGTTTCGTGTCCCATATACAATGCGGGAAATCGAGGAAACTTCCGAGAAATGAATTATGCACCTCACATGGTGAACAATACCTGAATTAGGGGAAATAATTGAATGGTTAACTAAAACGTGGTTTTCCGTACGAGACAATACTGCAAATTATTTACATCACAAATCACAGTCAGATAAAACTCACTCAGTAGTGCCTCAAGACGAACCGCTTCGGACTCATTTGACATTCCGCATGAATTCTCACTGATCATGGTCAAATTGTAGCCTTGAAACAGTTGAAACGATGTCAGTGTCGCACTGGTTTGATCGTAAAGCACGGACTGCTCTACCAAATCACCATTATCGCCACGTCCAATGATTTTCAGTTTCGAAATGGGAGCTTCAGTCAACGGTAAGGTCCAAATTAACTCGAAACCGATAGGATGTTCTTGAATTTGCAAATCCGTTGGAGGTGGAGGTATGGCTAGTGCGGTGCAAAGACAGAGAGAGGGAGCAATGATTTTAGCGATGACAGCGGTGGTGGTGGTGCTTTTGCTGCTGCTGATAGCAATGATAATGACGGGCATCCATGCTTTCATCAATATCTCGCAGTCGCATAAGTCAAGCTTTTAAAAACAGCTTGTGTCAACCAAGTATTATTATTATCACCATTATTCAGCTGGTAAAAACACGCTCGGTCAAGTGCACTTTACACACTCTTGATGGTTAAGCATCAAACACGTCTGTTTCTCCTCGTTCCCCTTATGCAAGCAAACAGTTTGATGGGATTTGTGGCCTAGTCAATTTTCAAAATTCCAATAAAACTTGAGAATATATACTTGTTATTACTTCCATACCCCCCCCCCAACCCAGTGGTTTATGACAACGCCATGTGTTCAGTGCATCACACCTTTCATTTATAAACTTTGCCTTCATTTTCATTTAGTTAACAACTGGTGTGTATTCATTTTTCAAGAAATGATATCACTACTGGTCCCACACGGTACATCAAGAATCAGATCGGCACTGGATAGACTTCACTTTGGCGTTCTTTAAACTTCTCACGTGACCAAAAGAATGAGATCTGGATTTGAAACCGTTGATTTTTGGTGCACACGGGGACCAAGCGTCAAACAATGTGCATGGGAAAGTTCGATCTTAGACCTAACTGAATCATTCAGCATCAGATAAAACTGTTAAGTTGCCGTGTCACACCAAACAGCACTGCTCTTAACTTACGTAAGTTATATGCAGGTATTGTTCGAATTCGGGCAAGACGATGGCTTTCTCCAAATCTTGTCAACTGAATGCCCAGCCTTCTGAGTCTCATCCATGCTGATGCGTATGGGATTACTCACACACCACACAAAATATCTCTATAATAGTTTGTATTCATATAGCTGCTTTGTTAGTCTAACGTTTTATGAAAGTACGGTTTCTTGATTTCAACCACGGTTTGTGACGCATCAGTCGCCAAACAACCGTGTGTCAGTATCAAAAATTGTATACATGTATCTTGAAAAATGACTGACGCGCATGACACAGATTTTCGTAAATAATCTGTACAACCTACATCATCCGTGGGCCCTTGCGCTAATATTTTTGGCATGGACCCCACAAACTTGGCAGTAAAATCGTATTTTCAATAAAATTCCGTTTTTTTTTCTGCTCCACTGCAGTTTTGCAAAACAATACTAGCAAACGATCAAGTTCTCGCATCGTAGATTTGAGGAGTTGCCTTTTTAGAAACTCGAACTGTTTCAAGTGCGACCATTACCTGCGGAACACAGAACTCGAAATCTTTATCAAGTGAAACTTTATCATGTTGTGCTCGAATGTGTCTGAATCTCAGAATATAGCCAGATAAGATCGTCCTCGGTTAAGATAAAGCCCGTTTGTTTGTTGGGATTTACCAAAATCGCTCGGTGACTTACGCGAAGCGGTCCGGACTATTTCACGCGGTGCCGAACTGAGTCGTCTCCCGTCCTGCAGGACCACGATCACCTGAACAGTGTAAGCGAGGCATGGACGAATCAGACGTAGATACGCCATTCGACTGACTGGTTGGACGATCATCTCACGCTGACGACCGTCCGAGTCCCTATAGTCAATTGACTGTTTGAGTACACTCAGATTCGATGGGATCACCCAAGAGACGAATATGCCTTCTGCGGTGTTGTTCAGTAATGTGATGACGGGTGCCTCCGGATCGACAGTGCCTTCTGTGTAGAAGAAAGTAGAGGTCAGAGGTATGGTCAGTGAGCTTCCATTGTCCTTTCGAGCTCAGTATTGATATTAGGGGACGCAGTCGGAAAGGAATTACTCATTCGAAAAAAATGACAAGTATTTAAACTCTATCAAAGGTTTCAAGGATGAATTCGTCGTGTATATAGCAAATGAATCGTGAAATGAAAAGCTAGAAAGCACTGGACAGCTATTTCGACCTGGTTGGGTCTCATCAGCAGTACGAATCCATCGGCCCAATTGGGGATCGAACCCGGGACCTCACGGGTAGAACGCAAGCATGCTATCCACTACACACCGGGCAGCTGATCAGGCGGCTTTTCATTTTCCATTTACACAATATAGTACAACCCTCTGCCCAATTGTCCGGTGGCGCAGTGGGTAGCATGCTCGCGTTTTGCCCATGAAGCCCCGGGTTCGAGTCCTGGTTGGGTCGATGGATTCGCACTGTTGATGATACTCAACCAGGTCAAAACAGCTGTCCAGTGCATACTGTTTGTTCAGTTCAGTCTTCATTTGCTATATACACAACGAATTCACCTTTGAACTTAAATCAAATCTTCCAATACTCTCAATCAAAAGTGCCAGCACAGAGTAGAAAGATAATAACTATTTACGACTATTACTAATTGACCGGAATTACGTTTATTCAATCAATCTTCATATCCGGTCAAATGTTATGGCATCCTCCAAACGCCTCTTTCACTGAAGAACACACTGACTCCGGAGCAGTCTACGCTAAACCAACCGTACCTAACACGTGTGAATTGGGATCAGAACAAACTTGGACGAAACTGAAGGAATTCTGGTTATCTACGAACATGTCCAAACAAATGTAAAAACAGTTCTTCTCTTTATTTGTTCACAACTTGAAGAGGAACTTAGAAAGGACAGTCTTGCCGATACGTGTTCGAAGAATGACCGAAACGGAACCGTCATGCCATACCCATAGGTAAATGAGGCACTGCTGACTTACCCGTTTGACCCTGGCCCAAAGAAAGGACACCAAAGAAGACAATCAACAGTCGAATCATTTCGATAAGCAATCTACGTGAATGACGAGAGAGCATTGCAAAATTAGGGGTTTTTATACAGTCCACAACCAGAGTTTTATCTTGGTATTTTACGTGTGTGGTATGTATCTGTCTATATGCCTGTGTGTCTGTGTGTGCGTGTGAGAGAGACAGAGAAGCGTGCCATGAGCTCAGAGGGCTGTTTGTGACTCAGCAGGAATTCACACGCTGGTCTCCTCGCGTCGTAGTACTGTAGGCGTGGGAACCGATGGAATGTAGAACATTGACTGTGATTTACAAGTTTGACATTCTTCAGTTAAATCAAATTTATTAGCATGATCGGTTCTACATGAACGAAACATATATCCTGAGTAGTTCAGACGATCTTAACTATAAAACTGCACACAATACCACTTATCAAATAATACTTATAAAACTATATGATGATGTGTTTGATTCCAGTCAAACTCAACTAATGAAATAGGTGAAGCGATGGAACAAAATTGCGGTTTCAACGAATGAGCTTGATCACACTGTGTATCCTATTAACAAACACCCATAATGAACCCAAGAAACTATCTTTCTTGACTATTCTGATAAGTTCAGTTTTTGATTCCAACTGTTCAACCATTATAATTCTCCTCTGATCTGCCTAACCTTTGGTTAATCTATCTTTCTTCCTTTCTGACCATGGAATATGTTCCGACTGTCCCCGTGACAGATAACGCTCGATAAGCAGGAATGGAAGCCCTTACTTACCGGGGTTATCCTTCTGCTGTGATCGCTCTCATGACCCGGATTCCCACAGATGCTCGTTGGACCAACCGATCGTTTTCATAACTAGCCCCCGACGACTAAGAGGGTTCTAATTCGGTGGGCACTGCATCAAGTAATTCTTCGTTCTTAATCTGAGGAAGCTCAATCTTGAAGCAAGCAGATGTTGTTGTGTGTTTTAACCATACCGGTAATGAACACCCCAGTCATTAATTAGCGATGTGATGGACAAGTCAAAGCTGAGCATTCCATTGAGTGAACTGTACCAGTTATTGTTCATATTACCTTGTGATATTCAGTTTGAATAAAGTATTTGGAGAATCAAATGATAACTCAATCACCTTCGGGATCTAAATTTACAAATATTTTCATAACTAAATGGGAGATTGACCAATTTCCTAGTCAGACAGTGCACATGATATAAATGATAGGTCGGCAATGTNTGTGAAAAGTTCAGTAGCCTTGGTGGGATTTGAACTCACGCAAGGATGCCGTGCTCTTCCGTGCGTGGGTTCGAATCCCACCGTGGCTACTGAACATTCGAAAATCCCAGCATAAAACTTCAGTCCGCAAAACAACAATGTGAACAATAAAATCGATTGTCAGAAGCCTTCTGCACACAGCTTCTAAACTTGACCTCCATTCCGACAAAAGGACAAACTAACTTATTCCGGCTGATTCACATGCCACCAGACTGATCACTCCATTCGGTCGGCAGTGCATCGTAAAGCAACGTTGCTGAAATGGAAGGTTAATTTTACTAGTTCTATGCTGTTCCAAATGCAGAGAGATTCAAGAGGTCGTTTGATAGAAAAGACATGAAGGACCCTCATAGATGGAGCTATGAAAAATGAATTCCATTTCTTGAGACCCTTTAACCCAAGCAGACTACCCGGAACGGGTTATTTTCCGAATAAAACAAGCTCGGAAAGAAAGACCATAAAGAAACCTATTTATGGAGATACAGAATTCGAAATCATCCACCGAAAGCTATACTGCACAAACAAACATCATATTTCGCATGTAACTCACAGTTACATGTAAGTAACGTTGTGGGATAATTGATACAGTTCAAGTAAAGTAAAGTCAAAAATCGCTTTATCCATTCTAATGGATGGATTCTCAGCTCCTTGCACACCAAGATCATTTAACACCGCATACAGTCACAGAGATAAAGTAAGATACAGCATCGTAGACTCAAGAGGAACGTGGCGTAAAATTTTGAATATACATATCATTTGCGTAGGAATTTCAAAGATTTTTCTCAGTCCAGATGCCTTTTGTACCAGAAATCTCGAAAGATATAGGATAACGGACAAGTGGTAGGCAGTGGTACAAGCGTACACAAGCTTATACAGAAGTGTATATGAATTGTTTAAGTTCTGTGAGTAATGCGTGAGTGATGTCTGATAAAATTTTGTTGCCGAAGTTTTCGCAAGAGGTCAAATGTTTGTCGGCGATAAAACTGAGCAAGTGTAAATAGGGAATAACGATTGTGCACGAAATAATTTTAATAGACTGGCGTGGAATTGCACAATCCTTATTTATAAGGTCGGCAAATAAAACTAGGGAGCAGTGGCGAAGATGAGTAACTAAACAAGAATATAAGATAGGGTGTGTAAGTAAAGTGGAACTTTTAAATTGGGCAATAAAGAAACATAATCATCGAACCTTTCTAAAAGTGGAGTTTAAATGTCAAGTCCGAGTGAAATCATGGCAGATAGGTATTGCAGAGAACGTACTGGGGGAACAGACGGGTTGCCAATATAGAGCACAGAACAATTCATTCCAAAAGAACTTAACCCTTCTCCTTTGGCTAGAGAGAAAGTAACATTCCTACAATTAGAGGCATTGACAGACAAATTGGAATACGAAGACCAGAAGCTTAAGCCAGATAAAGTGGTTTGAAGCTGTGAGAAACGGAAACCGCCTAGAAATTTGAAACCAATG